ATATATATATATATATATATATATATATATATATATATATATATATATAATAATAATAATAAATAATATAAATTATTCTAAATACGCAATAGAGGTATACAAATAGAGTAGATATTTTGTCTGTGTATTATAACATTAATTTAAATGAGAATCAATTTACTTACATCGTATTGTCCTTCTTTCATTAGGATCCAGTTGCAGTCCAGTTGATGATCTGCTTGAATGTGATATCTACCATCAGTCCAGAGTACCGCTTTGTCTATAGTGACAACAGCTTCTCCAGTACTTCCAGTGAATCCAGTAAGAAATTCTCTTCTCATATCACGCGGATCCACGACCTCACTCTAATGAAATTCACGTAAATAATATACATACTTTGTAATATTGCAAATACATGGATATTTATACATAGGAAAAATCATTAATCTCTTGATTATAATATTAAAAAAAATTTTTTTGCAGATGAGCATTAAAATATGAAGCTAATGCTTCAGCTTGAATCAATGTCTCTCAGTTATTATTAGTTTAATACCGGTAATAAAAAGTATATTTTTTATAGATAAACTTTTTAATCTTTAATTTTATCACACGATATCTAGAAATACTTGTTATATTTTATGAATTTTTTAAAAATTCTTAATATGTCTTCATTGGGAAACATAGATTCAAGAGACTAGATGCACTGCACTCGGAAAATCGAATAAAACCTTTTAGCAAATACGGCAATAGATTGCTGTCAAGCGTATCAATCAAAACTGCATTTTTTTAATGCAAAATATTCTCAATATTAAAAGAAACTACTGTCGAATACTATACACCACGCGAATATACCTCTAAAGGCCCGGCACGGCCATGAGAAACGAAGCTCACTGTCTGAAAATTTAAGTACAATGAGAGTGAGGCCGATCTGTTAATACGCTAATTGCTAAGATGCATTTGAATAGATCTTTCTAAATCAATGTTAGATATAATTAATAACATCGGATTAACCGTGTCAATCGTGTAGAACTTACTTGATGTTCATCGTCCGATGTAACAATATATCCATCAAGGGCTGGTCCTTGAACCGCTGCCACGCGAACCATTTCAGATCTCAGTTGTCTTAGTTGCAAAGAAGTATCGTGTCGATTGACTGGTTGATTTTCGATGTAAGCATTCACCGGACAATATAATCTTTTGGCTCCATTGTGATTTAGTTGTGGTTCCGACAATTTATCGTCCTTATCGGCTCTTGTCAGTTCTGTTGAATATTTTCTTATTTTATTTATTATAAATATATTGTGAAATATTACCACATTAAGAGTATATTAGAAATAAATTCTAAAATCAATAGTTAAGTAAAGAGAATATCACGTGTGTTAAAAGCAATTTTTGTATTAATACTTTTATAAAATGTAGAATATTTTCAATATCTACTATATATTTAATTTAATATTTTAATGTAATTTATATAAAAGTATAAGTATAAGTTTGTTGTGGTTATCTCTCTCTCTTTTGTATTGTTAAGTTGTAATGCTTAAATTATAGCAATACTATTATCCATAATATATAGTTTTTACGTATATTATGGGAGCAACAATATTTGTAAGTAAATTGTAAATTATATGAAGATAAAGAATAACATCAAGCATTAAAATATAAATATAATCAAAGAAAGCTTTCATTGTTGGACCATGAAATAAAAAATAATTATGGTAAAATATCAGGGAAGAGTGAAGAATAGAGAAATGTAACATATGTACATAAATTTGAGAATTTTAATTATAAATATGTTTAGATAATGAATGAAGAATAGGTGGAATGATATAGTGTATTTAATAGATAGATTTTTATGAATTTAGGCCTAAATTTTAACATTAAATTATTTTAACATTAAATAAGGAAAATACAAAAGAGAAGAACTGGAGGCGCCGGGTATCGATCCCGGTACCTCTCGCATGCTAAGCGAGCGCTCTACCATCTGAGCTACGCCCCCTGACAAGGGGTATCTTTATGCACAACATTGAAACTGTCTGCACATGTAGGTCATAATATCTTTGCAAAATATTTCTATTTGCATTATCTTTATATAATTTATTTATTTAGCAATTTATTTGCAAATGTTATAGTTCTCATAATATATGTAAAAACAAAGTTAATATAATATGAAAACTTTGCATACGATGGATAATAGTATTAGCAATTTAAAATATATAAAAGATGACCTTAATAATTTTTTAATTATATAAACTATGTTTGTATATTAAATTGAACATACACACATGTACACATACACAGTAGAGATATTGATAATACTCTACATTTTTTAAAAATATTAATACAAAAATAATTTTTTACTCGCGCGATAATCGATTCAATCATATAATAGATTTAACAACGAACTTGGTTCATATCGCATGAAAATAATAAATTTTTAATTTGGGAAAACAAATAATCATTAAAGATTGTATTTGACAAATTAAGGATTTTTAATAAATGTTTCAAATAAACGACAATTTTACAAGTTTCTATAGGCTCTAGAGCTCTATCGCGCTCTATATAATAGACAGTAAACGATGCATCGCTATCCAAGCGAGTTTTGACCGGAACCAGTTTGATTTCCGTTACATATATACGTCCCATGGGAATCCAGAGGGTGTGCTAAGTGGTGCTCGCGTACCAGGAAAACATATCTAGCTCGGAGTACGATCGTCCCGAAATGCACGTTTTAATCGTCACGTGTATTGAACTTTCGCTGGCATCTCACCAATAACATATGTCAGATCGACCTTTAGCTTAACGCGTTCCCTGTCTCCTTCTTTCTTCTTCTTCAAATCGATTTCTTCATCGAGTCTTATTTTTCTTCAATATCGCACCTGTAGGCGTGCACGGCATACGTCGACGGGCGGGAAGAGATCAATTTCGTGGATATGGAAATGGATCGAATATAATTCAGATCAAATCATGCGCGCACGCGTCCCCGCGTTTATCATTAATGCTCCGTAACTGGGTCAGCGTATTGTTTATTTAATTTAATAATTTAACGTAAACATATATTATCAAGTAATATTAAATATATTACTAGGGAAGTAGGAGCATGCAGTAGGAAAGTTTTACTCCGATGTAACCTTACAATTTTCAGCTTGGTAATTTTCCCGCGTTGTAAAGCTCACGTCCCTCAACCCTTTTTTTATTCTCTTGAGTATTTATGGATTTTTTCTTACCCCCTGCCCCTAACGGTGTGGTTAACAAAGACATGCCGTAGCGAAAAAGTAATTCCAATGAGTTGTTACGGAATAAATAGTACGAAATGCATATATCTTTATCAAAAATAATTGCGAACGTAGAATAATGTTTATCTTGTGATAAACGACTTAAAAATAAAGAAAAATAAAAAATATCATCATGCAGTGAAACAACGAAATAAAAGAGAGAATGCATTGCATTGTTTCTTATTAGAAGGAAGAAAACGAATGGTTTGAATTAAAATGGAGCTAACGCGCTATTTATAACAAGAGAGGTAATTTAAGTCACAACTTACCATTAATATTGAACGGCTGTCTCGAACGCTTTATAGATAATTACATGTTTCGTAACTACGTCGATTAATCATGCGATATTTTTGCGTTTGATCAAATAAAATAACTGAATTAATTATATCGTTTTACGATATTCAACTCATGTGAACATAATAACAGTATATGACTTGTGCATATCGCGTAAAATTGTCTCGTTATGCAATAAATATAATATTTTATAAATAACTGAATTGCTATTGCGCGTGCAAATGTATAATATAATAATCCTGCAAATGTATGTATATTTGTTCTCTTTCTCTCTCTCTCTCTCTCTTTGTTAATTATATATATTTTCCACGCGTCAAAACAATTTCTCATAAATAAATAGCAAATAATAAATCCAATAAATACATAATTGCATTATGTCGATATTTTACGATGATCACATAGTTTTATAATTTGGAAGTATAAATAAATATATGAAAGCGTTCGATACCTCCGGACGTAACATGCTCTCTCTTCTACTTCCACATAGCGAAATAAATTCGTAAGAACGTTTCGATGTTATGTCTTTATGACAATAATCATTACTCTCGCGTAGCCTTCGTCCTTTGACGGGCTCGGATCCAGTTTCGAGGGTGCTCTTCTTGTCTCGCCTTTGCTCTCGACCGTTGGTTCGCCACTCGCTCTACCGTCCTCAAAATACCAGGATACCATGAATCCTCGGTTAGTCTCGGACGTGGGGCAGAGTAGCCTAAGGATCGACAGCGAGGTCAACGAGACTGTGTCGAAGTGGCGCGTAAAGGCGAATTTTCACAGAATATAACAGAGGGTGAACTTAACAAGACCGAAGCTATTCTCTTTCTTAGTTCGTACCACGTTGCCGTTGTCGGTTTACCATTTGTTCACCACTCACTTTTAGGCTTCGAGCTGACTCGGCTAACAGCACGATGAAGAGCTTAGTCGAGCCTCGTAGCTAGTGAGGAGGGAATAGTGGCGCACAGTGACTGTGATAAGAATGTTTCGAACACGCATGTTATATATTAATTCGTTACGCGAACTTCTAGTGTCGTGTATCATCGCGAATAAAATAAGTACGTTATTGAAACGATAAATTCGTTTAAACACGGTCGTACGAATATAGATGAGAGGTCATTTAGTGGTAAATTGAGTGAGCAGAAAGAGAGAGAGAGAGAAAGTGTGATGAATACGTATTCCATAGGATTAGGATTGGCTGAGCATCGAGTTCACGTCATCGAGTTCTTTTGACGTTCTTGTGAATTATCTAACGTTTGCAATTGCCCAGCGACGATAATGATAGATACCCGCAGAAATGCGAATCGAGTCTCTAAGAGGAAATTATTCTCGGTGATTGCAGTATCTTCTAACGATTTCTTTTTGGTGATTTTGACTTTCGGCCAGAAATATCTCATTGAGAGTAGCGCATGTAACGTTGGATGATGTGCGCGAGGAAAGATGATCGAGATGCTGCGAAATTGGACTGTTTCTCGAGATGATCTTTAGCATCTAGCGAACAGGCTCGCATAATCTGCAGAAACTTCATTGTGATCTCACCTCGCGCCTATGTTGGAAGAGCTCTCGTCATCCGAACTCGCGGCTAGATTTATTTCTTTCTCTTTCTCTCCTTCTCGTTATTATCTTCGCTTCTTGTCACCTTAATTTTGATTCGAATAAGATCTATGTGAGAAATTGATTTTGAGCAATTTATAAGATTTTCGTAACTGATAAGTGTTCATTCGATTAGGAAACGGTTTTCGCATTCGATAAGAAAGGTATCACGTCTTATATTCCATACTAGAACGTAAAAGCGAGACAAAAGGAATCATTAAATATTTTTGTTTCCATGGCAACGTCATCGTTGATGTCATTGAGTTCGTTCGCAACTCATTTTGGCGCTACTATTGTACTAGGCTCACACATGAACGAAGAAGTATGTCAATGATGATGATGGTAGAGGATATATGTATACATGATTTCTACATGACTTCTAGATCTCTCGTTTTAACATGACGCTTGTAGAGCGAAAAAAATATCACGTGGTTTTGCAACTGCAATGTGTTAGCGTTACAACCACAGCAGTAGTGTACACGTGATGGTTCATGATGCTTTATATAAAATATTGCTGACGTACAGCGTACACACACATATGCAGTTCTCAATTTCACATAAATAATTGCACATTATGAAAGTTTAATTATATACAATTACGCAAAATGCACGGCGCAAATATGGGAAAGCATTTCGCTCATAATGACTAATTTGAAATTCACAATGCTGTTCGTTAAATGCAGCAAAAATAAGGTAATATTCGAACATTTTTGCGGAAGTACATTAAATCGTCTCTGATTTAATGCATTTTATTACTCATTTTACTGGTAAATATTTTGTTAATGCAATTGCGGAAAAATTTACTCTATCCGTTGATTTATTTCGTGTTATTAATTGCTAATTAAAAGAATGTAGTAGAAATTTCCGGAGAGAAAGAAAGAAAGAAAGAAAGAAAGAGAGAGAGAGTGAGAGACAGAGAAAGGAACTTATCTGTTTATCTATTAAAAAGAACACAATAGTGTACGATGAATCTGTAATTCTATGCGAATCAGCTACGTGACGTCTCGAGATGACCTTCAGTATCTGTTGATCAGGATAGCATAAACCGCGAGAAGCCAGACGATTTACGATATTTGCATCTGCAGCAGCTGAGCCATTTTAATTCCTCAGTCGC